TGCGTACGTGATAGAGCAATGACGTAGCATGGCGCATGCACTAACGGCACCTCCCGCGTTCTCACAGTAGCATCGTTGCAGCTGTTGAAGATGGAGGTTCTTATTCCAGCTCCCGCCGACTGTGAAGTGCGGTCAGTGATAACGCTAGGCCGCACACGGCTCGACGGACAGCAAGTCTCCTGCAGGAGTTCAGCTGGGAGGTGTTTAATCATTCACCCTACAGCCCGGACCTCGCTCCCAGTGATTTCCATCTTTTCCTACACCTCAAGAAATTCCTGTCCGGTCAGCGTCAGCGTTTTGAGAATGACAGAGAGGCGGAGATGGTTGTCACACAGTGGTTCCAATCCCAGGCGGCAGACTTCTACGACACAGGTATTCAAAAGTTGGTCCCACGGTATGACCAATGTCTCAATTCCGGTGGCGAATATGTTGAAAAATAGCTGGACACTTGCTGTATCTGTTGCAATAAATATTTCCATGAAATTGTGTTTTGTTTCTGTAAACGGCCCCAGGGAAACTTACTTTGTAGACCAGCCTCGTATGTAGTAGTTTTAGAACCACCTTTGCCACATTTATATTGAAACAGACAATAATTCTCAGTTGATAGGAAACGTTAAATAACGTTACAGGCGACTCAGCTGTTCGCTGTTTTAATATTCAGTATTGTATGACGAGTTCTAAATCGTAGCCACAGTATTTACAGTTGGGACAAAATTACTCGCTAGCCGAGCTCACTACTGCTGTGCATAGTAGAACTCGGCACGGCCTGGTCGGTGCACGGAACGGCCGTAATTATAAGTAACACGTTTCAAAAACGAAGTATCTGGGAACAATAATAACAAATAGAAATGAGGCCCATGATGACATTAAGAGTAGAATTTATTCAAGAAATGCTTGTTTCTAGAAATTCAGAAGCTGTTATCATCCTGTTTACTATCCAAAACACTGAAGATCAGTAATTTTGCCTGTTGTCTTGTATGGTTGCAAAACATGGTCTCTTACCTTGAAGGAAAAACGTAGATTACAAGTGTTTGGGGGGAAAAACGTGCTCAGGAGGATATTTGGACTTAGGAGGGATGAAATTAGTGGGGAAGAATTTAGAATATTCCATAACGAGAAGCTACGTGAATTGTCTGGGTCACCTGGAACATTAATGACAGTGAAATATAGAAGGCTCCGATGGGCTGGACACGTAGCTCGCATGGCGGGGAAGGCAAGAGGTGCATACAGGATTTTGGTAGGGAATCCTTCTGGAAAACGACCACTGGGCAGACCAAGAAGGAGTTGGGAGGATAACATGAAGATGGATCTTAGGGAGGAGTTGGCTCAGGGTCGTGGCCGGTGGCGGGCTCTGGTGTTGTCGGTGTTGAAACTGCTGGGTTCTGCTACCACGGTGTTAAGTATGCAGCAAATGATTTGCATGTTTAAGACACGAAAAGTCCATTTACGTTAACTCTGATGAGTCACACTACGCTGGACTACTTTACATTCGATTTGTGTTCGTGAGAGACAAAACGTAAATTGATTTGCGGGTACAGAGACTCTCAAAAATGTGTCGTTAAACGTGTCACAAAACCTTGGGCCTATCTTATTCGAAATATGCGTCACAGAACACCCAATTCGCTAAATAATCTCCGTCATTCGTAAACACTTACACACAAACACATATCTTTATTTATTTATTTATTTCACTATATCCTTAAATTGTCCAATTGCTTTAGGTACAGAATCGGTTTTGGTGGACACGAATTCAACTGTACATTGCAGATTTATATTAGAGGATTTTTCTTCATAGTCACGTGATTAATTTTATGGCAATAAACTTTTGAAATTTTACTATTTTGTAATTACTCTATACAACAGACATTTGAATCCCATCAATAAAATATTAAAGACAGCGAGAGAAGAGAAACGATCGTATGAAATTCTCTAGACTAAAGATAAATCTTGTTACTAGAATAAATTGTAATATAAGTAATAATATCAGCCACAAATTTTGTCCTCTATGTCCTACTTAATAAAACGCAAATTAAATTTTAAAAAGAAGCTGTGAATATTAAAAATCTGGGCTCATCATTCTCATTCATTTTATCTTGCCACAAAATATTTTAAAAATTATTTAAGGACCTCGGGAGATGTTCAAGCCGAAGGCTTTCTTCAGAGGAATTAAATTTTAATCCTGTTACTAAGGATAATATAAAAATAATGACTTAGGCAATGTAAATGATTCCATAATTCACGTTTCATGCTTGTAATTCTCAATATGTAATATTAACCAACCAGATGGCTTATGAAACCCGAAGGTTCATCACCGAATTAACCAAAGCCCTCCACCGGACCCTGTCCTGGGCCAACAAAATCCAGTCTCCTTCAGCTCCTATCTCCCATAGATCCCGCCTGAGATTATCCTCCCATCTACGTCTAGGTCTCCCCAGCGGTCTCTTCCC